TAGTGTAATTTCTGATTAAATTTTAATAGAAGGATTGTAGTTATATAGATTTTACTATATATATGAAGTAAAATGGCTACCTAGCTCACATACCGTATTCTTGTTTGGGTGCAGTCACACCATGCACATCTCGTGTGACACACACCTGTTATCAGGGTACGTGTAATCCCGTTACAGAAGACCTTGTGGCAAAGTCGATTTAAATTTTAATGTTGACAAAAAATTCAGATAAGCCCCGGATTCGATAAAATATTTTCTTGCGCCCACTCGAATGGTATGGAAACGCCAACAAGAGCTAGTCAGCATCTTGTGGGACACAAATGTACTTTTTTTAATCATTACGACAAAAACAATCGTCTCGGTGTGAATATTTTTAATTGTTTTTGCCAGGAATTATTTAGATAATGTTGTGAGCAGTCTTCTTCTTACACAACTAACTCACCTTTGACATATAAGTCAATATTTCTTACTGAATCATGATCCATATTTCTAGTGACAAAATCATTGAACTCGGTAAAAGCTTCGTAGTAGATCGCGGGTTTCTAAGATGAAACGTGACTCAGACATATCTAGATCAAAATGTGATGCAGGAGTAACCCTCGAGAATAACACAGAATCATCCAGTCCAAGATTGAGTTCAACACCCAGAGAATAGTATAATTCAGCAGTTTTTGAATGATATATAATGGAATTTTTATTTCTCAATTTCTTAGTTTTATATTTTTCTAACGAAAAGAAAACCAACTCGTAAAAAAAATGATCAGACAAACCTTTTTATTAAAAGATACAACAGCTATTAGCTTCATTGATTTTTCTCACTCCGCGTCAATATAGTTGGTATTAGCTTAGCTTTTGCAGCTTAGCTTAGCTTAGATTCTCAATATTCGGAGCTAAGCTAAGCTAAGCCAAAGCTACCTGGAAAGCTGCTAGCAAAGCTATTCAAAATTGGCGTCGAAATGTCTGCCAAAATTTAAACCCTAGTCACGGCGTTGTCCGCGCTCGCCAGCAGTACCACCGGTACATGACAGTTTGCGCACCTTTCGTAGCTGTTTCACCCCAGCATCCAGTTGCTTTATTTGACTTTGGTGAGATGTTATATGGTGTACCGTGTTAGCGGTTCAGAACTGTTTTTGTTTCATGTACCTCAGTGGGTGCAGAATCTTTCGATCTGTATTACTGCCTGTTCGTGACAAATATCGTTGATGGGCTGATCGTTCGTGTACATCAAGCTGCAGTCTGCA